CGCCTGGCCCCATGCTCATCGTACGCGCTCCTCGAACACTCACCAGTGCATACATCTATGCTTACGACACCCTCTTGACCCTTTACAACCTTGTCGCACCCAAGCGTAAGAAAGGCCAAGTGGTCCGGAAAGACATGCCTGGTGCGGGGCGGTGTTGGCCAGAATTTGTGCCGCCGACGGAGGATGACAGCCGGTGCGCGTGCCCGATGCTGAACGCGATGGCAAATCACGGTGCGTCGCCCACACCGCTGAATGACTTCAGTTATGAAAGAAGCACAATCAGGAATCCTGCCTCACGGTGCGTATCACTTCTCTTGTGGCATTGGCCTGTTAATCAGCAACTGGCAGACGGGAAAGATATCAAGTTCACCACGCTTACCGAGACGGTCAGAGAGACGTGGAACTTTGCCCCGACGTTCTCGCTCTTCGTAGCACGATTCATCGCGGATGTTTTGGGGAGGGATTACAAAACCGTGGGCCGAGACACTGATTCTGATTGTGCTCTGTGGCATGCTCATTTCCTGACCCACAGGGTGCGTGCGACTTGGCTGATATCAGCTTGCACAACGGTATCGAGCACGACGCGTCCATCACTCGTATGCGCCACTCGTCGACTCCTAATACTCGGCAGATCGCTAATTCTCGACCGCAGGGCAAGACTGCTTCTTCGATTCCGGACAAGACAAACCATACCGGCCATTCATCGAGCAGTTTCTCGGATCTGCTTCAGGCGACAACGGGCTGCTTCTGTGTGACAAAGACTTGGCTCGGTATCTGGCCCAACGACGAGCGCATTCCCGATTGGCGAATCCGGAATACTCGCTTGACACACTGCATAGGATGCTGGGAACATCCAAGTATGTATTTACGCTCAGAGCTTCGGGTGTCTAATTGCGACGACATGCAGCGCTTGCTCGCTTACGACGATGTTTGCGGGCAATGTCTCGGATCTGCGCTGCTTCCTGCTGGAGGAGAGGTTCCCTCTTGACTGGGAGTCGCACATCCGAACCAGGAAGGGACTGACGATGGCCACACTCAACAGGACGACCATCAAGGTCGAGGCTGAGACGCTGATAGAGGAGGCCAGACTTCGAGCAGACCTAGGCAGTGTTGGACCATCCGTGTGACGCGATGAATAGTATACGACTTGGTTCGAGCCTGGACGCTTTCAATCTTCCTTATCTGTGCAACGAACCACCTCAAGGCTCGAAAGATATGCCGCCGCTACACCTGCCTTCAGTCCACACTACGTGGTCGCACTGTGGACGACAATGCTGCTTCACGTATCACCCAGAGTCGCAGACCGTCACACAGTCGGTCTCAACACATTTCTTATTTCTCAACACATCCATTGGTACAAGTGCACAATTTCAGGTAGATTTTTATGAATACAGAGGAAAGCCATATCTGATTCGTTGTACACACTGAGCCATGGATGAAAACAGGGATGTATATGGTAGACGAAACGGTAACCCTAACCTTGAGATTTCTAATTGCTCTGCACGTCCCTCATGTCTTCCCTTCGCGCTCTCCGCCAACTATCTTCAATCTCCCGGACTGTTTCCCTGAGGGGGAAACACTCGCCGCGTCTGCATTTGCTAGCGGCTACTGGACGCGCGCTCCCATCCACGACCCTTCGCGCGTTCTCGGTTTCCACGCCCACTCGCAGTGCTACCCCCGGTGCGCAGTACTTCTGGCTGGTCTGCAGTCGTCTCTTACGCGCCTATCTCACCAGCTTCCACCGCCCTCCTTGAAAAACTTAAGGAAGAGCTCGACTACGAGGTGAAAGCTGCGAGCGACAGCGGAGAGCAGTTGCCCGAAGTGCTTTCGGCTTTCCTTTCGGAAGGCGTATGGAAGGTTCCCCCGGCTCTCATCCAACTATAAGAAACTCTCTGACTGTCGCGATTTCAGCTGGAGGATGTCCCGGGGAACGACGAGGTGCTGCTGTTTGGGAAGTATGAGAATGAGACGTGCGTATGACATCGCCCATATACTCTACCGTGGAACCAACTCATCCCCGCTTCCTCAGCATCCGCGTCATGTTCTCCATCGCCGACCTCCAGACCGTTGACGAAAGCCCTGAGAATGAAATGGAGGAGGAGGAGGAGGAATCCGAAACACCCACGGAGCTGCGCGTGCGCGTAACTTTCTCCAAGGCGCGTCAGTCTCCCGTCACCCGCCTATTGACCTGTACAAACTGCATGCGTAGTCTAACGCGCCGGGTGCGATGACGGCCGACTTCTACTGCTCCAACGGCGTGCTTCAGCCGGCCAATGTCTCGTACTATGCGGACAGCGAGACCGGCACGGGGCTCACCATGGACGCCGATTTCACGCGACGTCTGCTGTACAACGGGCCTGTGGTGCGTTTTCGTGGTTTCAGTACCGAATAAGAATGCTCACTGTCGGCATGTTAGTTTGAGACCCTCGACGCTGGACTGCAGGAGCAATTTGACGCGTTTTTCCGTGAACGCGGGATCGACGAGGCACTGGGTGTCTTCATCCCGGAATACGCACAGTGGAAGGAGCAAAGGGTGCGTTGGAAAACGATTGTTTCCTGTTCAAATTGTCTGATCTTTGAATTAGGAATATATCGCATGGCTGGAGGGCGTGCACAAGTTTGTAGGAGCGTAAATGCTCGTGCAAGAGCTCGTATCAAAAGCATCGTACAAGATGCATCTAGTATACAATCTTTCTGCTCGCTCCCTGCGTGAGCTGAATGCGGCTCAGTTCCATTCGAAGTCTTAAGCTTTAGGCCGGATGCATGGAATGTGAATCTCGTCGAGGGACCAGAGTACTCGGAAAAGATACACGATCAAAAGGGTGTGTCATGCTGGTCGGCAAGCAGAGACCGCAAAGCTTCGTTCTCAATACACCGAGAGCCGTTGGCGGAAAAGTGGGGCAAGCACTTGTTGACAATCCACTTGCCTGCGATGTCGAGAACCCCCCTGGAATCTATGCGCAGTCAATTTCGAAGCTGGCGTATGAGCACCCTCCACCTGCGCAGATAGGATCATGAGAGTCCACTCGGGGGAGATTTCAGGAACATACGCACAGCTATCCAAATCCGACTGGGTATCGATGCATTCCCAAAAGATGGCAATGCGGCCTGATACCCGGCAAGAACGTCGCCCGCGACAGCACTTGGACGCCGGAGTAGCATCCCTGCGGCGCATGGGCCGATACATAGATTGAATCGACTCGCTGATATCCCCATGGACGAAAGGTGGGCCCGTCCCACCAGATCTCACCGCAAGTTAGTGATTAACCGGCGCACAAGTGTTGGTACCAGTGAATGCGGCACCACTCCCGAGCACGAGAGGAGCCGCATGAGTTGCGTGGTCGGTAGCAACCTGATAAAGATGCTCAAGATATACCGCCTTCCTTCTTTTGCAGCTCCAAGATCACTTCCCATTGATAGTCATAGGGATAGAGGGACCCGACCAAGGAATAAACTGGAGCGAATCGCGAGACATTGTAGAGAAAAGACTTTCAATTCAGCGGCAGAAGGAAAGGTGGCGAACGAATGATCCCAATCGCTTCCGGTGCAGAGAGCCTGAAGCCGAGTGTTTGGAAGTTAGTGGCGTGAGCAGGGGAGGCAGGGAGGCAGGGAATCCGGGGACTAGGGGAAGTCATTTGCTTTCTCGAACCTCACGAGCTCGTCAGAATGCCAGATAGATCAACTTTCTACAGAACTTGGAAATGAGTTAAATATCCTTCATCCACAAGGAACGTTCTCAAGTGGTGTGGGCAAAACGTTGAGAGAGTTAGGGGTGACCACTGTAGATAATCGGAAAGCAGCCAGCTTGTCGTGACTATCACGTTATCTGTGACTTTTTGTGATCATTGATGATTGCCTCGTCGATCCTTCCCATCCAAATGGACTACAAACAACTGAGCGACTTCGAATTTCTACTTCATTTGACCACTTTCACGAGAAATCAACCGGCTGGTTCATCACGGGAACTCTTTCCCGAGCCCGACTGTAGCAGTAGACATGGAGCGCGTTGGGCTGTAGTCATGGGTCTAGGGCGCATTCGCCGCCCCATGGTGAACTGGAATCCAATACGAGTCCAAGCTCCCACGCTCTATAAAGGAAAGTCTTGCCACGCATGATGACAGTCGGCCTCCGCAATTGGTGGCTACTACCCACCGACGAGTTCAAGATGCCATTCCTTTGCCCCCATCTACTGCAGTCCCTGCCAAACCACGCACTCTTTCACTTGGTGCATTTTTGTGGTGATGTGTCATTTACTTTACAGATGGACTCGGAAGCGGAAAGCGAAAGGACGCGATCGTCAGTCCTTGGCTGCAAACCCCGTTCGAGTAACTTTCATCTGTCCTGCCTGCTCGGACGATTAGTCTGGACTTTTTATCCGAACATACCAGCGTTTGATCATTTGTGTAAAAACGAGCTGAGTCGTTCCCTATCAACTTAGCTTGGCGCTCACTGTCTGCAGAACGGGGGCGAGTAGTTTCGCTGACAGGCAGTCCTGAAGGTAGGCCGAATTGGACAGCGACTTGCCCCTCCGAGTTGTGTACTCGAAGATCTACTCGCTTGTAATCGGTCGAAGCAGCGACTGCTAAACCATAATGCCATCGAGCACAAGTCGCAGCTGCACCCGATCATGTCTCCAACCCAGCTGGCCTTCGTGATCGCTCCTGAATCCAAAGCCCAGGCTTAGCTGCGTGCAAGAGTCATCCTCAGTGAGTACATTCTTTCGAAAGGAACCGGCTCACCAATCTGGGACCAGCATCGTAGTATTCCTGGGGTGGTGTGCGCAGACTATGTTCTTGCCAGTCGTCTATCTCTGAACTTCCGTGGCAGTCCACGCCAAACTGTCCCATTTGAGATCTTATTCCGCACGCTACTCGTCGATGTACCCCAGCGCCGTGCAGATTGTCATCCAGTCGGACTTTCAGACGGTGGCCGGTATCCAGGCGGCAAACGTAAGCGCATTCTGCTCCTTATAACATTACTAAGGACGGCGACACAACCAGATCGCGAAGCTTGGCCCAGCAGTGGATCTGCTTGCGGAGTACGGTGTTCTCAGCGCTACCCCGCCTCCCATGCTATTCCACGTGATGTCTGGAGGTGCGTTGTCCGTGCTCGCACATCAGATAGAAACTGATGCACGCCCGGCAGGCGGTGCAGCGCAGCTGTACCTTCTCTCGCTCGCCATCAACAAACGACATATCCCCAGCATTCCGCCCTCACACAAAGTACCCTTCGCGCTCGTCTTCGACTCCGGTCCCGGCAAGCTATGTCCGTGCCGACCTCCGCAGAGCGGTCACGGCATCCGTTCCTGCTGGTCTACGGCGACTGGTGTTTCTGGGAGTGGCAGAGCTGGCCGTTACCCATCTGCAAGCTCGTGCAGCCATCTGCTTAGGGAAGATGCCCCAGGATACGATCGTGCCGGCTCTTGTGAATCCGAGCCTGTTTCCATGGATGGACAGGGCAACTCCGCGGCTGTATATCTTCTCCGACGCCGACCGCGTGATCCCTGCGTCGCGCGTCCGGGCGCATCTTCGTGCAGCAAGAGAGAACGGCCTGAACGTGACGACGGAGGAGTTCAGCGGCACTGCGCATGTCCGGCACGCATTTGCCGACCCTGAGAGATATTGGCGCTCTGTAGACAACATATGGCGCGAGGCGAATGCTATCAAAGGCCAGAGTAGGCTCTAGGTACTACGGCGTCCCAGAATGCATGGATTATACCCGAGGTCTATCGTGGCATCTGAGATCGAGGAAAGTAGATCAAATTAAAATGGTACGAAAAAGGCGCGACTACTCTAGTATTCATCAAGTTCTTCCTCCACCTCGGCGAAAATGGACCCATGAGCCTGGACCATATGCTCGTAGATGGCATCCGACTCGAATTGCTCCCCGCAGGCAAAGCATAGATGAGTGCCGCACACGCAGACAACATGATTACACCCGTCAATGAGATCAATGTGCATTCCACACGACGGGTTTGGACATTGCACAAGTCGTGCGCCAAAGGTGTTAATGGTCTGGGAAACAGTGCAATCCTCGCACGACCAGCCAGGCGCCATGGGCGGAAGCTCCCGGTCGGAGCACGCCGTGCGCTCAAACGCCCGCTGGGCCGATCCGCAATCTGTGCACCAGGCATACAGCCACCGGCGGTTCCCGAATGCGTTCTTGACCTGACTGAGTGCCGCCGCAGCCCGGTTGTAGCGCATGAATGTTTTCAGGAGTGGCTGACGGCGGCAGAACGGACACTTGAACTGCATCAAGTTGAGCAGTTTGCCGGGAGCGTTCCCGCCGTACTGCGCGAGAGGCACTGGTCAGATGCTATCCATTTCAGATCCAGATCACCGCTCACCCATTCCTTGAGACACCGCTCATCCACCAGCTGGGTGCATCCGGTCCGACCGCAGGCCCGCACGAGCTTGTCTGGGCGTACATCCTCGAAACACAACGAACAAGTGGCGAGGAACACAGAGTCCCTCGCTTCGACCTGAGCCAACACATCGGCAGCGTTGAACACCTTCTTCTGGCCCAGCACAAGCGAAAGAGATCGATGTCGAGGCACAAATCCGAAAGCAGCTTTCCCGGAAGCCTGCATGAGCTTGAAGGCAGACTTTCCGGCAAACACATCGGCCACCATCCCAAGCCAGCCCACACCGTTCTCCTTATTGATCGCCCGGACCGTGCTTTCCTGTGATGCGATCGAGGCCCAGTCTCCATTGGTACAGCCTGGACACGTAAACTTGTCCGCTGCTGTTGTGCGATAGGCCTCTGGGATGATCACTCGGTTGGTACAGACCGAGCACTCGATCCAAGGACAGGAGATGTGGGTGCGACAGTAATGGCAGCGAGGGCGGATCTGTTGACGGTAAATGGCATGGGGTGAGAGACAAGAGACGAGCTCACTCTCAATCCAGCCACGTTATCGACAACGTACTGGGCCCGACACTTCATCGAAGAACACTCTACCCAGCAGCTTTCCTCCTGGAGAATCTCAGCTGGTGCAAAGATACAGAGCCTACAACTCACATCAGAGTATTCAAGATAGCTGTCTCCATCACCGAAGGAGCAGTGTCCACAAACATTATTTCGGTCATGGCACATTATAGTCACACTGCGACTTTCATCCTCGTCAACTTGAGACAAGAGACGAAACAACCAGCGACTCACAATTTCGAACACATCTTGCACCGAACTTTCATATCACCGCACCCCCTCGTCTTCGCTGGCGCCCAGGGGACTTTGACTTGCACTGGAGCGTCGAGGTTCGCCTCGATGAGCCTGTAACGTCTCATCATCTCATATACCCGCTTCTCTTGTCTCGTCAACACGATGCCCTCCGGGGCTGACAGCAGAAGCCTTGCACAATCGAAGCTGATGTTCTCTGGAACCTCAGATCAAGCCATTTCCCTTGAATGTTGCAAGTAACGACTTGGCCAAGTCAGCGAGGAACGGCACACCCGTGACAAGAGCAACAATGGCGGTCAGCGCAGCGGCACGGTGAGGATAGAGCGTTCCGGGGACAATCAAGTGAGGAAGCGTGCGGAACACGTCGGAGACAGAGAGGGACAGAGGAACGAAACGTTCGTTTGGGCCCAGTGTCACTCCAGGTTCGACCAGCTACAACGAATACTTGTCACAGAAGCATACAAATGGCACGAGAGAACACGCACCTTGAGATGAGTGAAGATCTTCCCGATGCGTTTCAAAACTCCAGGTAACAGCTATGAGAGACCTCCAATAGCTCCGTCCGGGTCAACTTCACGTCTGCATCGAAGTCCAGATAAACTGCAGGGCGACTGGCAGCGGCCTGGATCATCTTGTCGATCTCTTCCGTCTGGTCGAAGCTCTCTTCCAGCCACAGCTTCAGTCCCTTCTTCTGCTCCACGTCCTCAATCCTCCCAACCTGGGCGCTGAACAGGTTCACCAACGCAGCTTTGCGCTCGTTGTTGACCCTGCAGACGGCTCGCCAGAGTTGCCCGAAGATAGGATTGTAAGTCAGACATGCAACATTCGTGGTGATGATCTCTGCGAGCGATTCGTAGACCATGGCCTGGTATGTCGTCTCGCCGGGATCAAGGAACCGCTTGCCAGGATCGAAGCTTTCTTTCATCGAATGTCTGATAGGTATGTGATCCAACCCCAGAGGGAGCTTGGAGATCTTCTGCGCCAGCCAGACGTCCCGACTTGACCCAACGACTCGCGCAGGAAGGTATCCCCTAGCGCCCTTTCCCTCATCGGTGAGCTTCTCGATCGGAGGATTGACGTATCGTAAAAGTCGTGCATTTGACTGCTCCAAAATGTCGGAAAACGTGGCTGTCGAGCGACCCATCCAGTGCATCACCATCCCCACCGAAAGCCTCGCCAGCGTCTTGCTGTCATTCTCCCCTGCCCTAGAAGCAACACAAATCCACCAGTCAGCGCGCTTAGCAGCACGTAGAACGACGAGTACTGTGTGTCCAATCCCTGCGGGGTGAAGCAGAAGAATGTGCACCCTCGGCGTTTCGCAGTTCGACACAGCTTCACCCAGTCCGTCGAACCCTCAGGGAAAGCCTGCTTCTCCGCCACGTCGTTGAGGTGCTAGTGAAAGCTGGGTGGGTGAGGCGGAGCGTCGGCGTACCAGAGCACGAGCGTCTGCGCGTTTTTCGCGTCGACCTTCTGCAGCGCGCGGATGAGGGCTGTCTTCGCTGCCTCGGGGAAGTCGCCACCGCCGGTGGATTGCAGATCGTGCACGAATGAGGACAGGTTGGGCACATTCCAGCCAGACCAGTTGACAAGCTCGGTCTCGTCACTATAGTCTTTGTAGGCGAGAACGCCCACGCGAGAAAAAGCGCCTGAAAGTTTGGCTAGAGCGAGGATTTCAGGAATTGACTGGCGCAGCGCGTCCAGATCTGGATACTGTGTGGGCAGATTCATACTTCGCGACACAAAGGATACATACATCCGCCCATACTAGCTGTGGCATCGGTGACAACGAGCAAATCGTAGGTGAGAGAAGCCTCGGAGTCGGTGTCGAACTGGGCACCCGTCAGACATGCGTGGTGAAGATGGAGGAGGGCCGAATACCACTCGACTTTAAAGAGAGTCGAGCGCTCACTTGCTCTGAGTCAGTATTCATCCTTGCATGACAGATGGTGGTAGTCAAACAAGTCGAGCTTGACTCGAGCGCGACGAATGGGCGCCAATCAGTGATCAATGGATCATTAGAGGTCTCATAGGGACCCCAAGCTCGGCGCAGCTGGTTTCAACGTTGAATGAACGGTCAAGTATGGAAAAATGACGAGGC